TGCAGACCACTTGTATTTTTAGGTAATCACCATGTCTTGAGTTCAGGTCTGGTTTTCTAATATTTCTTTGCAGTCTCTTCACTTCATACCTTTTGAAAATTGACAAGAGTTGTCCCCTCTTTCATTGTCCAAGTGATAACTTAAGTATTGAGTGCTGCCAGATGTGGTATTTGCCTTCATGGAATTTTGCCAAATGTGTTCTTTTGTTTTGACAGTGAACCACCGATATCATTCTGAGTGCTGCTCTCCAGCCACTTTTGTACCCATTCTGTAATAAGTACTTTAATGTAAATCATACTTCTGTAGATGAGTTATGAGAATATGTGAAATGATACAAAATAACCTCACTGAAGTCAAGCACGTAGGAAATCACAGAATCATTTGCTTCCTCTCTGTCCACAGAATCTGTTTCTCTGCAGTTGAAGGAAATTAAATTGATTTGATGAGAAGTTCTTCTCCTTGACAAATCCATGCTGTGTTTACTCACCTTGCTTGCTTCTAGTTGATTAGAAGTAGTTTCCTAGCAGTTCTTGATCTTTTCTGCTAGGTCTCTATGAGGCAAGTGTAGTGTGTCTCATCCTATTTTTCAGGGAGGCAGATGGAAGGAGCCCAACAAAGATTTGTGTCCATTTGTGGGAGTAGTAGCTGCTGGAGCATAACTGTGTTTGTGTTTTGTCCTGTAGTACCTAATTCTGTTCTCACAGAAGGCATAGAGTGTTATACAGTGCCTACACAACCCCCTGCCCTGTACTTTTCTGACAGCCTCCTTGCTCTACTTCCTTGACAGCTTCTGTCTCTGAGGGCCTAAAGCTAAAATAATGTTTTCTTCAGATTTCTTGGATCCAGGCTCTTGGCTTGTAGGTATGGTTGGAGTTCTTTTCAGCTGTAAGGTGAATAGAAGGAAATCAGGATGTACATGCTGAGAAGTGTTCGTGGTTTGGGTAGTAAAAGGCAAGCAATAAGTTTTGTCCAAATTTTTCTCTGTGTGTATATGTAAAGTATACATGTGTGTATATGTGTGTAAGATGTGTCAGAATTGCTTCTACAGTTTGCAGCAGCTGCTAGCATTAATGGGGAAGATGGGATGCTTGAAAAGCTGGAGGTCTCGTGGGGTAATGTGTTGTATGTAGTATATTGATAGCATACATGTTGTAATTATTGTTTGGTTCTTACAGGCAGCAGTGGTTTATATTGGTCTGAGAATGGCAGGTGCTCAGAGAAGGGGACTGCGCTGTCATTTTCCTTGCAGCAGTAATGTCTTCATCTCCATCTAAGATTGTTTAGAGCAAAAGTGGGAAAGTACTCTGGCAGGAGAAAGAATCTGTGCTTATAAAAATGTAAGCACTCAGTGCCAACAGAACAGTTGCTTGGAAGTGTCCTTGGGGCTTTGCCAGAGAAGCTACTGGAGCTCAGTGCTGAGATTTACCAAAAATGGAAGGATGGTTGTTGTCCAGTTTTCACAGACAAGTTCAAACCTATAAGCAGTTGTGTCACAAAGGTAACACAATGATGACAAATAAACAAAATGCTATTTCTGCTAAGCATGTTAATAAGGGAGGATGACACAGGATAGTTGATTTATGAAAGGATTAATGCATTCAGGTTGCCCTGCTCTTCTGGGCAGTGTAGGCATTTTTTTCCTCTACAGTGACAGACACCAGTCTAGCAGAGTGCAGTGTGAGAAATGCAGAGAAAATAGTGGTTTGAGTGAAGTGTATATGAAAAATCAAATAACAGTTATTTCCACTTTATAAATCCATGCTTAGCATCAGAAATACAAACTTCTTACTAAATTTTATGAGCAGACATCTCCCTTTGGAAATTCTGTGTTGCTTATGAACTTGCGTTTTTTGTGAATAGTCAGATGAATAGGGGGATAAAACCCAATGATACTGAACCTTTTTCCTTTTCCCAGTAGAGTAACAGATAAATAAGTCTGCGTAGTAGCAAAACCATAAAACAGTATACGTTAGAATGGACTTAATATATTATAGTATGTACACAGAAGTGTGTGTGTGTGTCTGTGTAAATGTGTGTATTTAGGATCCCGTCCTGTATGTATCTCTTTATGAACACACTGATTTCATATTCTTAACTGTGGCTGATGAGCACCTCTTCAAGCAACTTCCATAACTCATCTTGTGAGGAAAGACAGCTCTTCATCAAATCCCAGTGTGTTTGGAGAGCAGGGAGTTTTAAAAAAGGTCACTATAGATTTATTCATACTATCAGTTGACAGTTTGAAACTCTGAAACACCTCTATTTGCTCAATACCTAGGTAAGGGTGGTGGCAGAAGAACTTAGGCCAGGAAAGTAAAAAAGCTTTGAAAAGATTAATTTCATCAGCAGCTAACCCTATCAGTGTCATGGGACTATGAGAATTGCTTGCTTTCAGAAATGCTGGGAAGGAGATCAATAAAATACTGGATAAATTGCACAGCAGTTCGTTGTAGATGTCTGACAAGAATGATGTTTACAAAAGTTGATGGTAAAGAGAATTCTGATTTAATTAGGCTTTGGTAGCTGGAGAGATAAAAGTATTCATATATGAGCATCAACATATTCTGGCTATAATCAGAAAAATGGCTTAAGGGTGGTCATCTAACTAAACAAAGGACAGACATGAAAATCTGCAGCAGATTTTGTTCCCATACATCTAATAATTTTTTTTTTCTGTACATTGAATAGATATCTATAACCTTCAATTTTTTAACTTCATGTAGAATATCAGGTTCATACTTTCAGGTAGATGAAGTGTCAGATATTTGTTTGATGATGCCATATCTAGAATGTAAATATTAAAATATGTGAAGATCTCTACAAATCTCTGGATTGTCTAATTCCGATTTAAACTACTTCCTATCAAGATAGTTGATGAACAGAAATACTACTGTAAGAAGTCACTCAAGTTGTATTGATTGTAATTATAATTTTCCAGAGTTTATGCTGAGAAGATGGGTAAACTTGGTTATGAAACTGAAGAAAATCACAAATGCAGTAAAAAGAACAGGCGTTAATTTTTAACCATTACTTTATAAACAAGTGGGTGTGTCATGAATAATCCAATGAATTACTCCCCAGAGCCTCCTCTTTTAACTTTGTCAAAGGCTTGTACTCTTCTAAACTCCAGTTATTGTACAACATGGTTTTTAAAGCTTAATGCTGAAGTGGCATTTTTCCAAAAGGCTGTGGTGAGTACACATGCTAATTTAGAAAAATGGATGGATGTGTTTGAGTAGATTATTGGTGAAGGCTGGAACAAGTAAGAAACCCAAGGAAGAAGATAACTGATTGCTATTGTAGGTTGAGGAACACAAACTAATTGTCTTTCACAGAAATCCATGTGCTTTAAAAATGTTTGCTCATTCTGAGTAGAGTTGGGGCAGAGGGGAATTCCAGAAGGTATAGAGACTGAAAAATTAATTGGATCTGTCAGTTAAAACTAAGGCATTTGGAGCAAATAAGGGATTATCTAGGATGTGATGAGAAAAGTCAGACCCCTGAGACATGGTTAGTTTGACACTTATAATAAGAAAATAACATTAATTTTTAAGAGTTGAACCCCAGAGATATATATTGATCCTTTCACATGGGAATATGTACAGTGTAATGCAGAAAAACTGTCTTGTTTTTTCTGTGAAGTCAAAAAGCCCTGCAAAAGAATGTATTGATTAATTTCCTTCCTGTAATACTTAACACAGTCCCTTTCATTGGCACCATTCTGGTGGCCTAGAAGTATGTGGTTAATTCATGTCCCATGGTAGTATGAGACTGGATACTCTGAGGCCAAGTAGGTTTATGTCTTTAATTGGCAGATTTTTACTGAACACTTCTTCAGTGCTCATTCAGTAGCTGTGTAATTATGCTCAAAGGTTGCAAGGGCAGTATGTGTTCTTTATTTTTTTTTTTTAATCGGCACATCTGTTTAATGCTTTATTAACAGCTGTAAAAATTGAGTTGTTAATATGGCATCTGATTTTAGTTTCAGTTAGCAGTTAGGAAAAGCAACCAGTGTGAAATTATTATACCTGTAAATGTCACACACGTACTCTTCTCTGAGTCAGATTTTGGCATCTTAGGTGTGCTGCTTGACACTCATGCCCAGGTACTGAGCAACTTTATTCATCACAATGTGCATGAGGTCAAAGTTTTTTTGCCTCTGTGTTACATCACTGGGCTTTGGAAGCAAGGGTCATAGGAAACAGGCTAGATTAATTTCTCATGGATTGCAAAACTGCCTGAGACCCTGTACTGCTATAGTTCTCAGTTACTTGCTGGCAGTAGGGAAGGATTAATGGAAAAGACCTCATTTGGCTTAATGGGAGGACAGGTTAAGTTTGCTACCTTTGGTGCTACTGTTAAACTGGGAAGAACTGCTGGCATGTTGGGAGGACTTGGGTTATTGTTAATAACATCCTTGACAACGTGGACTGCAAAAGACTGAAAAAAATCAATTTCTTTAGCACAAGGAAGATAAAAGCCTTCAAATAGTAATGAAATAAAGGAGAGGAATACTTGATTTCACCTGCATATAAGAAAAGATGCAATAGGTTAACATTGCAACAAGTTGTACAGCACAGAACAAAGACTTAAATGTAAAGGATAACTAAATATGATGATATACAGCATAGGAGAGTTGCTTTGTTGTTTGATCATCGTAAGTCTTTAAGAACAAATAAGGCAAATACTTGTTATGTTTGATGAAAAAACTTTTACATCTAGCTTGCAGGTAGACTAGACAATGTCTTGAAGTCTCTTTTGGACATGTTTGTTGTCATTTGGGTTTTGTTTGTGTGCAGTTCTACAATGGAAGGAAGAAGGGTTAAACCAAACCACCACACTCCTAGAAATGTTGCCAACTCACATCAGTAGCTCATCTCTTCATTCTTTACCTGTTTAAGTCTTAACAAAGGAAAGACAATGCACAGCTTTGTAACCTATGTAAGTGTTCTTCATGAAGGGAGCATATATACTGAAAGTCAGTTATTTTTTCTTTGCAGGTTACGGGATGACAGAATTAGGGTAGAAAGGATGGAAAATTTCCATTTTGAATACAGCCATGCTTTCCAGAGGATAACAGACTTCTATGCAAAAGAGGTGCCTGATACTACAGGTATGTTACTCAGATTTTTATGTAAAAGAAGTGCCTCATAGTACAGGCCTGTAATTCAGAATGTCTTTGAGGTGTTCTGCCTGCTAGCTTTTACATAAATAAGGAATACATGTGGGGGCATCCTGTCAGGTCTCGTGGACTTGTCTGTGTTGTTGCATGTAGGGCTGGATAAATTTGGTACGAGAGGAATTTGTTAAGGGATTAATCCCTTTCCATTCTAGCTGATCGTCATAGATGAGAGTTGCTAGGGGCTGATGGACTTCTCTTAATAGATATGCCAGTTATTGCTGTGACTATAGGTCCAACACCATATGCACAGCCTGTGTGCTGTAGATCCAGTTGCATTCAAAAGAAGCAGTCGGGTGCACAAATAGCAGTTTGTTCATATGCAACATGCACAGATTCTTTGAGTTTCCCTGCAATAAATGCATTAAGCTGCAGACTTGCTCTATAACTCTAAAAGACAATTACAATCACAATAATAATCTTCCTATGACTTGGTGCCAAATGCTAGTCCACAATTTGGTCTGAAAAGGAGTAGTATTTATACCTTCTTCGTGGCTATTGTACAAAATGTGAGGTGGGACTGGTCAAACAATTCTACTTTATGGTCAACACAAAACTTCCTTGGTGACTTCTGCAAGAAGCAGATGACTGCTGCAAGACAGGGGGAGAGCAGGATAAGCAGCCATCACTGCATTACACCTTTCCTCCTGGAACAGGAGAACACAGACCACTGGATCTTCACCCAGCCTTTTTGTCACCAGATATGTATCAGAAGCATTGAACTTCACAGTTTTCACTTGTTTTGTGCTTCCTGCTTCCAACGCCATGTTCAGCTTGCTTTAAGTGTTCCCTAACTTGATCCTCTTCTGTTAAGGACAAGTCTTCACTGCTCCAGAATTTCCCACTGGTCTGAGAGGCCTCAGATTCCTCAAGGCACATCTTAACAGTAAAGACCACGACAAAGAAGGCATTGCATTCCTCAGGCTCTTCCATGTATTTGTCACTAGATCTCCTGCCTCATTTGGTAGTGGGCTCACATTATCCCTTGTCTTACTTTTGCTGCTGGAGTACTTGCAGGAGCTCTTGTTGCCCTTCGTGTACCTTGCCAGTCTCAGTTCCAGGAGGGCTCTGGTTTTCCTAACCCCATTCCTGTAAGCTCAATGAATCTCTCTATATTATTCCTCAGTCACCTGTCCCTGCTTCCACTTCTCATACTCCTCCTTTTTAATGTTTGAGTTAATCAGGAGCATCTTATTCATCCATGCAGGCCTTTTACCACCTTTGCTTAATTTTTTGCACTGTGGGATCTTTTTTGAGCTTGGGGGAAGTAAACCTTGAAAGTTAGCATTATTTGAATAGAAATTAATACAGGGCTAGCATCCTTTTTTATTTATCATAGCTTGAAGAAATGCGCTTGCACAGATGTAAATTCACACATACAGCAACTGAAGGAAATTATTTAACATCTGAAATGTTTCTTCAGGGTTATTTTTTTGTGTGGTTTTTAACAGTCTAAGAACAGAAGAACAGCTTTAAAAAACATCTGTGAGAAAACTTAACTCAGTAGGGTTTTTAAAAATAGCATCTCACGTTGAGATATCATGGAGTGAATTCTGCTGCTGTTGCAGCTGGAACAGGGGCTGTAGTAGAGCCCTGCTGAGGAGCACTATCAAATATGAATGGCTGTCTCATGAGGATGGAACTGTGTTCTGCAGACTGGCCGAGGCAGACAAATCCTCATCACGTCTGCTGAGGCCTCTTCATTGCTTCTGTCTTGCACAGGTGTTGCCTGCAGTAGAGGAGATTTCTGAATTCAGTTCTTAGTTTGTGTACTTAAAAATATGTTAGGCCAATAGTAATTGTTATGGAGAAAAAGCTATGTGGTCAAATGTTTTGTAATGTGTTTAAGTTATTTTAATGATTTATATTCTTTCAAAACGAATTATTTCAGAACATCACTTGTTGATTTATAGATATCATACAACACTGTACATATGTTCCCTATTTCTATGTGATTAAACTGAAAAATAGTTTATGCTTTTTCTAAAATAAGTAGTAACAAGTGAGTCAACCAGAAAAATAACATCTTTTTTTTAGGTCCTCAAAAACTGTCTGTAATACTAAGCTTGGATAAGCCTGTTATTTGCTCACTGGCAGCAGTAATTGCATATCTCAAAGAATTTAATTTGGAAAGGATGCTTTACAATCCAAGGTAAGTTGTTTTATATAAACTTCCAATTCAGAGCATCATTACATGTAGCAGTGTTACCTTTTAAGTTTTAGCAACTTCCCTTCCATGTAATGAATCCACCTGCTGGAGTGACAAACATAGTCTTTGTGAAAATTATACCTTACATTTAAGCACCTAATCATAACTAAAAGAATCAAGTGATTTCTTTTTTTAAGTAGTCTTTCATGAAAACCTTTGTTTGCCTAGACATTACTGGCAGTAATGTAAATCAACACACATTGCTGCCAAGTGTTACTGAAAACAAACAAGATGCAAAAGTTGGGAGATACTGGGGAGAAATTTTAAAGTCTGTTAATATCAGCCACTATATCTCAACCTCATATTTTTTTTTTTGTGAATAAAAATAGAGACTTTTTTTGGGCAGCTTTTAAAAATATAATTAATGCCATAATTTAGCTTTGCAGATGTTGTTATTTTGCCAGAAGGGTGTAAGTAATTTTCTCTTTAGCTCTGGAAGAAGGTGTAAGTGCTAATGTGTTGTAATGTTTAGACAGTACTCAGCAGGTCTGTTTGAGCTGGTAAATCTAGTTATCAGTTTTAAAGAAAACAAACATTCAACATATCCTGGCTTTCTGGAAAGTCCCTAGAGTTGGCTTAGTGGTAAATAGACAGGAAACAATCATGCAAAAAGTTGTTGATAGACCCACATTATTTGTGCAAAGTTACTACAAAAACAAACAGACATGGAAATAATCTTGTCTTCCCTTACATAGTACCAACACTTAGTTTTATTAGATATGCTCAAATGAATACTCAGAGTTCCTAACAGGATTATGCAGGTGTAATCAAAAGAAAATGAGGAAGATATTGCCACTCAAGCATCTTTTTATCCTGTTTTGCACATGTATAAAAGATTGCTATCCTGCCTGGCTTAGTCTTGAAAATGTCATTGAGGCTTATTAAATGCTTTATTAAAACAGATTTATCTGTCATGGATCCTGTGCAAAATAGTCTACTGGCTGTCTCAGTATTGCTCTGTCATGTAAGTAGGCAGGATTGAACAAAGTAGGTCTGGCTGCAGACTGGAAACAAATATGCTATGTCAGTTGTAGATCATTCACATGTTATATGAGATTCTTAAAGTTTCAAGCCTTACTTTGAAGGCCTCTCTGCATTACCAGTTCTTTTAAAATATAGCTGCATATTAAAAGTTGATTGCAGATGTCAGCTTTAAACATTTTTCAGTTATTTGGAAATGGTATATACCTGTTTTTTTCTGGTTTTTGGAATGGACTTTCATCCTTAAGTTGTCCTTCCTTTCTCCAAGTACTGTTAAAATGTTAACAAAATCTTTGCTAGGCTTATAGCTCTAATGAAGAAAAAAATTTCTGTGGCATCTTCTAAGCTCTCTTCCCTGCCTCATTCTTTAAGAAGTACTCCAGCACTGTGGTTTTCACCTGTCTTCTTTCGTTGGCCAGAGAAATCTTGTGAGAGTTTCTGAAGAAGAAATTGAAATCCAAGGGAATGCCATTCCATGTTCACGCTTGTGGATCACTATTGTCACAGACATAACGTGAATGTTCTCTCACAGAATCATACAATTGTTTAGGTTGGAAAGGACCTTTAAGATCATCAAGTCCAACTGTTAACCTAACAGTGCCAAGTCCACTTTCTGGCTAACTAGCTAGCAGAGAGGGAAATTGGGCTAAGGCCAAGTATGGGAATGCTGGAAAACAGGAGATGGGGGAAATACAGAATCCATCTTTCATGTAGAAGTAATTCAGTAGCAGAGGAGAAACATCGTTTTGTGAAGGCTGATCTAGCAGCAGTCAGTTACATTTGTGATTGCTGCATCTTAAAACCAAGTATAATTACAGACTGAAGGAAAAGCACTCAGTCTTAGAGCTGACATTTGCCTGCTGGAGGTTGCTCTAATGGACTTTATGTGAATATATGAGCATCTGAGTGGAAAAGCAATGAACTGTTTGATATCTTGGTGATAGGCTGTGAAGAAATAAGATGTATTCTTTGAGATAACTTTGTTCCTGTGCTCAGGAGCTTGAATTCTACTGTATTTATTCCTAAAACCTTTACTGCTTTGACTACCCAATAGTGAATTCTACTTGCTGTTTTTAGCGTATCACCTGTATTGAAACAATGAGCCAAATACTAAGGCAAACTCAATGTCAGTATTTTTCCTAATGCTGGTGAAATACTATCTAAATACTGAAAAGGGAAAGCCTTTTAAACAAGAGATGTCAGGCTCACGGATATTCTGTGATTCTGCAGGAAATAGAGGAGAAATACTTCTACTGAACTGTCAAGCAACTTAAAATTTCCTGGGAGGATTCAGGTCAGTGAGCATATACCAATGAGTCAGTGAGCATGAAGTCAGAGTTCTGAGATAGTTTTCAGTTTATTAGTGTAGGTGACACAGATCTGGATGAAAAAGACCTATGTGATAGGAAGAATGACAAAAAAAGTACTTATACCTCTGTACCTTCTTTAGATAAACACTTCTCCCAGCTGAAAAAAAATTCCAGCTCAATTTAATAAGTAGGATCATGAAACATCATGTCATTGATGAAGGATCCTCATTAGCAGGGTGGAAGCAAATTTTGTTTTAATGTTTAGATAAAGCCTTTAAAGCCACTTTTAAGATCCTAAAGCAAAATATTAAAAAAAAAAAAAAAAATTTGCAAGAGCAGAACCCTAGGGTATGGCTAGACTTCATTTGGAGCTTGAGCAGCAAGTAAAAATAGATTTAACAATGAATGATACAAGTTTGGTTAATCAACCTTCATATACTGAGAGACCCTTACTGGCTTTTGACAAGAAGCTGGTACCCATCTAGGAGAGATCATAAGTACAGTTGAGTGTCCGGTTTTATGTATACAAAATCCACGAAAAATAATCATTTGTGTAGCTGTTGCTACAGAAATGTGTCTAGGTGTGTTTTCATTTTACCTACATGTTTTCCAGTGTACTGGGGATGGCACGTACTGTACTACTTAGATTTTGAACCATGATAGATGAACTTCAAGATATGCAGGCAATGGAAAAGCCAGGTGTCTTTCTGAAGGACTGGAGTAATTTTTTTACAACTCTTGCCTAAATATATAGGTTTGTTTGGTGGTTCATTCACTCTTAGAAATCTCAAAGATGTGGGCTCTCAAGGTCTGTAGAAGGTAGGCTTTTAATACAGTGCTTTGCAGCTTTGCTGGGAAGTTTTTACAGATTTGCAAAATTAAAGTAGTTGAAAACTACTTTTCTCAATAACATGCATTCACTTAGGCTGGGTTACTGAGTACAACATTTTATGTAACACCTCCTGTGGAGACAATAATGAGTAAAGCATAAAAATCGCCCTGCCTTCCAAGCTTCTCAGAAGGTAGGATGAACAAGAAGATCTCTTTTCACAGGTAACACATAAGAATTGAAGTCTGAAGATGTAGCTTACTGTCCTAAAGCAATCATAGTAGTCCTTTAATATATTCATCAGTGAGTATAGTTCTAGTTTGAAAAGTCATTTTATGACTAGGAACCTCTTTCTCATGAGCATTCCCCCAAAGTTTCCTACATTTTACTAGAAGCTTGTGTTTCTTTTTGTTTCCTCTTTTTATTTTTTTTAGCCCAGGTCACATCATTCTACCTCGCCTTGCTTCTTCTGACTAATGGACTTGTCAGCTGTTTCCATCCTTTGTGTTTTGTGCTGTTAAAGTATTTGAAACAGTTGCAAGTCTGTTGTTTGAAACTCAGGGCACACTGTCACCTGCAGAAGGAATTATGGCATTGTGATCCCGTTGAAGTAATTTTGAAGGGTTGTCTTTGCGGATGCAGGAGATGGCTGATAGCAGCACATCAGAATTTTTCACAAGGAACGTGTTGACGACATTGCTGAAAATCTAGCACTGACTTCATATTTATTTACAGCCACCTTCTTAAGCCATTTGGTCTCTAAATTCCCTACAAAGAGTCTATCTTTGTTCACATTTTTTTCAGTTTCTGATCCCGAGCTGAAGGAAGATGAGGGGGTGGAAGCAAAACATGTTCTGTGCTGTGACATCTGGAATTGTTGGTTGGGTGTATACTGCAGTTGATCTTGGCTATTATTCATATACTTGAAGATCTCTATTACCAGGATTAATAGCAGGGTGGAGTAACTCAGATAAAGCAAGCACCTTTATAATATAAACCACCTGATTTATGCTGTGAGAACAACTTCAGCACATCTGATTCTGAGAGAATTGTAAATATACTCTTCAGTGGAGTGGAGTTATTTGCTTTTAAATACTACTAGACTGCAAGCTTACTGTGAGCAGAATATTCTTTTTAAGTGCTCTGAAACCAGGTGAAGTGCAGAAACACTAGAACCAGTAGTCCACAGTCCTGAAACTCATGTATGAGTGATTGAGTGTGTATAGAAACAGCTAAATGCATCCTTTTCACGTTTGGGAAGAGATGGAAACACATGGTTCTTACCCATGGGCTCAAGAGATCACAGTGGCAAACTGAAATGCAGCAAATGGAGAAACTGCAGTTTAGGTGAAGCCCTAGATGTGCAAGAGGTGCTTCGGGAAGAGTGGGTAGGATTTGGTTTTGATCATAGGGATTGAGAGCCAAGCAGAAACCATTCCTATTTAATTTTTGCCAGCATTAGCAGTTGTGACTGAAGATGGAAAAGGAAGTATTGTTGTATTGCTTACAATGTCATGTACTTTGGAAAGTGCTGCTACTTTTGCCTCCAAGGTTTTGTTTTGGTTGTCGGCTTTGTTGGTTGCTGGGGTAGCACACTAGAGAAGGCTTAATTATGACTGTGGGTTCAGTTCCGAGTCGGCTGTACTTCCAACCTATCATTGAACTTCTTGAGGTACTTGGCTGAATTGACTCTTTTCAGCAAAACAAACAGGAGGAAAAAAAAAAAGGCGGAAAATAGTTCAGATTTGACCCACTATTTAGGACAAATCTAGCAGGCCCAAATACCTGCATACCACATAAATTTATAACATTAATCTCTGAATATTTCGTGTGCCTAGTGGAAATTTGGAACATTTGAGTGCTTCCCCCAGAGTTTATAATTGAATGCACTGAAAAAAAAAAATGTGAAAAGTCAAGAAAGCAATTTTAAATCCTGTCCAGCAAGTCAATTTGTTTGGTCTAAGATGATAGAGAGTGTCCTACATTTTGTGCAAAGGGCAGTCAGCAGTATGATTAACCTAGACAATCATAACCTGATTTGTCAGAAGCATTTAGTGAGGGTCTTGCACTTCACTTCATGGTCCCAGCTACCACAAGTGTATGTCTGAGGCTGAAATAATTTTCACATCTACTATGATTACACATCTAATACAGTGTTGGTATTAATGTTGATTCTAACGCAACACAACCTTTGGGTTGGTCACTTCCACTTCAGCAGGGGCGTGTCAAAGTCAAGTAATTTTAGTCATGGTTATTTCACAGTAAAAATAAAATCATATAGTTTCCACCTTTTTTTTTTAAATAATTGCACTGTCTGCCTGTTTAAATTGGTATTAGTGGTAAAAAATAAGAATATGTATTTTTGTATATTTTTTTGGATGATGAGTTGTGCTAAAAGTCTGCTCCACTCTTGAAGTATTAATTCTTAGTCCTGCCCCTAATTCTAAAGTGATCATAACAGAACACTAACAAAAGCACACACTTTTTCAATTTAATCATAGATGGAAGAAGGGGTAATTCCTTAACCATTTAGTGGATCAGGATTAGATAATAGGAGAGCTGGATTTTGTTCTGAGCTTTTTCATTGTAGGAAACTGGGAAGTAAGTCGCAAATCTTGTTTTCCCAAGCAGTAAATTAAAAGAAGTTGTTAGCCTTCATTTCTTTTATTTATTTGAGTAGGTTTTAATTTCTTACTTTTTTTAAAATTTTGGATAACGAATGAATTCTCTAATGTGAGAAACTTCACAGTCTTTCACTGCTCTGTCTGTGCCTGAATTTAAAAGTGTAATATGTAATTCCTCTCCCCAGCAATTTCAAACAATTGTCAAGTGAAACTGAATACATGACAATTAATGGGACAACAATGAAAAATCTTGAAATTTTGCAGAATCAGGTATGGACAAATGTATGGTTTGTTTTTTTTTGTTGCTTTTTTTTTTTTTTAATGACTGCTGAGATTTTCACAGCTGTTCGACATACTGTTCCTGATGGGTTTAGTTAAGTTATTTTCCAGATCTCACCCAGAAGGTTTACATTATTTTAAATGGGATCAAACTGAAGGAGGATTGCATTTTCAAAGGCATAATTAGAAGTTTATCTGTGCTGACTTTTAATATGAGTTAGGAACCTTACTGCACTTTGACCAGCAAAGAAATTTCCTACAGTTTGAGTTCTTGAGCAACTGCAAACAAGTGATATGACTGCAATACAGTTTGCTTTTTCTTTATGCTACTGCACAGACTTAATTTGTTTAATTTATTCCAGTAATTTTCTAAAAAGATTTTCTGGCTAAAGGAAAAACATTCTTAAGTGCCTTATTAGAGGTACTTTTTGTAAGGCATTGTTGGTTAACAAGATCAGTAAATAAACATGCAGTTGCTGTATCTTAAAGCTTAAACAGAATGTTTAAGTAGTGTGTTGAAGATCCTTTCACTACATAATTACCAGTAAAATAGCAATAATCATGCTATTTTTATTATTTTAGACTGATATGAAAACAAAAGGAAGCCTGCTCTGGGTCTTGGATCATACTAAAACTGCCTTTGGACGTCGAAGGTTGAAGAAATGGGTGACACAGCCCCTCATGAAATCCAGGTGAGATGTCTTTTTATTTTAGGCTAAATATGAATTTTATAATTACAATGTTGAGTAGGCCCAATGTATTTAATTTTCCAGAAGACCTGAGATCCATAGTAGAGTTTACACAGGAAATGGTATGAGATGTGGACATCACATATAGGTTCAAAAGAGTTAAAGCACTCTGTTGGGGTACTGAAAATCTAAGCAGTTCCTAGTAGCAGGTTTGGAGCAAATTAGGAATTCCCTTGCAGAAATTTGATTTGGTACCATTCTAATTCAGTATCCATTTTCAGACAACAGATGAGGATTGCTTCTTTTGGAGGATGTTTTATTCCTAAACTTGCCAATTAGTTTTTGTCTTTCTTGCTTCATAAATATTTGCTTCCTTAATGTATTTAATTGGTTCTGAAATAGCTGTGGATGTTTCTGGTATCCCTGTATACAGTGTATTGCATATGAAAGTATTTTTATTACTTCTGAAATGTCATAATTGTTTGGCCACTTGTATTTTGAGCTATGCTTTTTTTATTAAGCTTTAGAAAAACTTTATTTTGCAAATACTGTTTTCATGCTTGTATTCATTTGTCTCAGTCTTGGAAGGGGCTCCATCTTTTCTGATTTCTTTTTGCAGGCATTATTGCAGTGTTGTACTTGGATATGTAGTAATAACAGGATTGAGTCCCTGGAATGTTTGTTGCCCACAGTTTTAAGTTTATGGGCCTGTTCCTTTGTGCATTCTGTGAGAACTGTCAGTGTAGAGTTTGCTCAGTTGTCAGTTTGTTCCCTTTAGCTATGGCATACAGAAAATCCTCATGGTTATCTAAAATAATTTTTCCTATGTTTTACTTTTTGAAAATACGTGAAACTTTAAAAACTTTTGCTAATTTTTAACAGTTGCATGTAGTGAGGTATAGCAATATTTTAGAATCATAGAATCCTTTA